CCAGCAGGACGCGTTTCATTGGATTACCAAGGACATGTTTGCCCAGGTTACATTTTCTAGTTGTTTGTTGCTCAGGTGTCTGTTTTTCAGAGTCTGTTCATATTTCTGAGTCAAAAAAGAACAGCTATTCAAGAAATTCTGAGGCCCAGATTTAGTCACAGGATTTGAATTCAGAATTTCTTTCCTTAAGCACTAATAGCATTTGCTTTTAGTTTTATAGGTAAATAAACCTGTTTATAATTATAATTAAGCAGAAAAAGCTGGCTAACATGAGGGCAAGAAAGAAGCTTCTAGTCTAAAAAAATCATCTTCAGGCTCGATGCTGATTGCACAGTGGTTATAGCACCAGCCACATACACCAAAGGTGGCGGGTTCAAACCTGGCCTGGGCCAGCTAAACAACTGCAACAAAAAATAGCCAGGTGTTGTGGCGGGTGCCTGTAGTCCCAGCTACTTGGGAGGCTGAGGCAAGAGATCTCTTACGCCCAGGAGTTCGAGGTTGCTGTGAGCTGTGATGTTACAGCACCTACAGAGGGTGATATAGTGAAACTCTGTCTCCAAAAAAAAAAAAAAAAATCTTTCAGCCACTTTAAATCCCCATCGTTAACAGAACTTCTAGGTTTATTCAAGAATGGATTTATTTGCTTTTATTATGGAATATTTCAAAACTACACAAAAGTAGACAGCAGAGTATAACAATCCATATGTACTCATTATTGGGCTTTGATAATGACAATTGTGGCCAATCTTGTTTTATCTATACGCTCACTTTCCCTTCCTATTTTATTCATTTATTCATTTTCAGAAACAGTGTGCTCTGTCACCCTGGGTAGACTATGATGGTGTCATCATAGCTCACTGTAATCTTACACTGCTGGGCTCAAGTGATCCTGTTGCCTCAGCCTCCCGAGCAGCTGGGATTACAGGTACCTGCCACTACACCCAGCTAATATTTTTTTTCTATTTTTTTGCAGAGACAGGGGTTTAACTCTTGTTCCAGGTGGTCTTGAACTCCAGACCTTAAGCAGTCCTCCCACCTTGGCCTCCCAGAGGGCTAGGATTACATACCTGAGTCACCTCACGGGCCCCTCCCATTTTATTCTGAATCAAATCCTAGGCATATTATTTCACCTTTAAATATTTTAGTATATATTATTTAAAAGGTAAGGAGTCAAATATAATCATAACTATAATATCATCACCAATTTTTTTTTTTTTGAGATAGAGTCTATGTTGCCCTCACAGGAACCTGAAACTCTTGGACTTAAGCATTCTCTTGCCTCAGCCTCCTGAGTAGCTGGGACTACTACTAGCCCGCCACAACACCTGGCTATTTTTGTTGTTGTTGTTGTTGTTGCAGTTGTCATCAGTGTTTAGCTGGCCCAGGCCAGGCTCAAACCTGGCAGCCTCAGTGTATGTGGCCAGCACCGTAACCACTATGCTACGGGTGCTGAGCTTGTCACCAAAATTAATATTAACTTCCTAATACCATATAAAAAAATTCAATCAGGCTGGGTATGGTAACTCACACCTGTATCCTAGCACTTTGAGAGGCTGAGGCAGTATTCTTTGAGCTCAGGAATTTGAGACTAGACAGGGCAAGACCCATTTCTGCAAAAATTTTTAAATAATTAGCAGGCATGTGTATTCTAGCTACTTGGGGGCCTGAGGCAGGAGCATTGCTTGAGCCCAGGTTGAGGCTGCAGTGACTGTGGTTAGGTGACTATACTCTAGCCTGGGTGACAGAATGGGAAAAAAAAGAAAAGAAAAAACATCCAGTCAGTATTCAAATTTTCAGCATCTCACAAATGACACACACATTGGTGTTGTTTTTCAGATTGCTTGTTTGAATCAGGATGCAAATAAGTGCATGCTGCACCTGGTTGATTTTCTCTTATGTTTCTATTACGGCTAGGATTTTCCTTCAGCTCTATTTTTTTCCTGAAACTCCTTTGTTGAAGAAATTGGGTTTTGCATAGTTTCTGTATGGTTTGGATTTTGCTGATTGTGCCCATGTGGTATAATTTCTACATGTTCTTTACCACATTATTCTGTTCCTTATATTTCCTGTAAATTGGATATAGATAGAGGCTTGATCAGATTCTATTCTGCTGCAAGATGTCTTTATGAGCGATGGTATATTCTAACACAAAATCCCAGCTGTCTCTCTTGTGATACTAGTGAATGATTAATGGGTAGATCCATTAATCCATGAGGGGTTACAAAGTGGATACTCTAATACTTATTCAATCATTCCTATTTTTTTTTAAACCTGAAATACTTCAATACAAAATCTATTTTTTTTTTTGAGACAGAGTCTCAAAGCAGTTGCCCTGGGTAGAGTGCCATGGTGACATCATAGCTCACAGCAACCTCCAACTCTTGGGCTCAAGCGATCCTCCTGTCTCAGTATTTTGTATTTTTAGTAAAGACAGGGTTTTGCTCTGGTTCAGGCTGTTCTCAAACCGGTAAGCCTAAGCAGTCCACCTGCCTTGGCCTCCCAGAGTGCTAGGATTATGGGCATGAGCCTCTGCATCTGGCCAGAAAAAAATCTTTAGAACTGGAAGACATCTTAGAAATCATGTAAAAATCCCCTTCACTCATTTTAAAGGGGGTGAAACTGAAGCTCTGACAGTTTAACTCAACTCTTCACAAACACATCTTTATTTTTGAGGCAGAGTCTCACTGTGTCACTCAGGCTAGAACGCCGTGGTCTTACAGCCCACAGCAACGTCAAACTCCTGGGCTTAAGCAATCCTCTGCCTCAGCCTCCTTGACTTAGCTGGAACTACAGGCGCCCACCACGATGCTGGGCTAGTTTTTCTATTTTTAGCAGAGAGGTCTCTGATCTAGGTCTGGTCTGGAACTCCCCAGCTCAAGTGATCCTCCTGTCTCAACCTCCCAGAGGACGGGCATTATAGGGGGTACCAGCGCGCCGCGCACCAAACATAATTTCTTAGCCTGTAGCTAAGGTAACACAATTCTTTCAGAATTAAGCTTTATGTTAAATTTCATATTTTCATTACCTTCGAGTCTATTCTGCCCTTTGGAATGATAGAGAAATGTGTGTTAATGTATGCACGTATTATGTTTTGTTAAGATTCCTTGAGAACTTACTATTGATTTGATGGATGTGATTTGATGTGGGTAAAGAAAATGGTGATGCTGTGGTCACATATTCTAGGTGTACCCGGCATTCTTTTTTTTTGAGAGCGAGCCTCAAGCTGTCCCCCTGGGTAGAGTGCTGTGACATCACAGCTCACAGCAACCTCCAACTCCTGGGCTCAAGCGAGTCTCCTGCCTC